AAAGTTAGTGATATCTGTTGCTTCTTTGTTTTTAAATGGGTATTTTAATGGCGATTAAAAGCGTTGCACCGATCAGAAAACATCGGGCCAATCTCTGATTTAGGAAAAAAAATAAATAAAATTTTAAGCTTTGCGTTGCCAAGTCTGATTTCTTTCTTAGAGGGAGGATATAGAAATCTATAAGAACGGCATTGAAAATATTTATGGTCTTCTTGTTGTGAGTGGTCAAATATTTATATTGGAGGCAGAAACATCATGCTGTTTTGTGAGAAAGCTGTTGGTGTAAAGCACTTCTTTTACAATGGTTGTGGAACAGATGGCACATAACAGTGTTTGAGATGCCTTTCTGCATTAAGACAAAAGTAAATTATTAGGTGGACTTTCTTACTACAGAGTGAAGCAGTAATTTCGCCATTTGATTCAGGAGCGTTTGGCCATGATGAGTCGATGGCGAGTAAAAAACTGGTTGCTTTTGACAGCATCACCCATCCCAATTCTTTGCTTGATATTTTAAACATCATACTGAAACGGTTATCTTTTTTTTTCTTCCTTCATTGATGGCGTCCACACTGAAGAGTGTTTAAAAAAAACCTGAATCTTATCGCAGTCGCAGCAGTGCATTTGCAAGCATGTTTGATGATTAAAAAATGTTCAGATCTTACAGTTTGTGACCACTTGGTCTTTAATCTGAGCTAATCAAAAATACAGTTTATTTGTGCAAAGACAAACTTGTGATTGAATCATTTCATGTTATTTTCTCACCATCTTTAAAGGTAGTCAAAGGTATTCCAGCATTGGCTTCACTTTTAACACCAAAACTTCATCCATCTCAAACCTGGAGCTCATTAGAAGTGGCATTGCCTCATTGGTTAACACTTCCCTCTCAGTTTTTGGGTTGTGTGTGTGTGTGTGTGTGCGGTCCTTTGCAGAGATCATAGAAGACCAACACTGTTCCTCTGAGTCTCCTCCAACGGACAAAGTGAGCCACGCATTTGCTTTTTCACACCATTCATCCTTGTTGCTAGGATACTGCTTGATGTTTTTTTTTCTTTTCTTCTTGACCCGGCTCATTTTGTTGTTCCTTTCTCTTTGAATCTTGATGCTTTTTCTGTATGGAAAGCCGTTTGCTTCTGTTGATGAATGACTAGCCTAATATAAGTTCCTCAGTGCATTAAATGTGAAGATTTGCTCATTTTCTGCCAATAGAACTTTATTCTTTATTTCACGGAGAGCGAGCTACAAGATTGAGACGTGTTCCAGCATTGGACTGTTTAATTATTGACCCAACCTACATTTGCTGTAATTAAAAAGCAGCACTAGCTGAATGTACACATCTGTTCTTTTGTAGTTGTAGAAAATTGATTGTCTTGTCTCTCTTTGGAAACTTGGTTGATTTTTATTTCTTTCATTAGAGCTTAGATTGCTTATATGAGCGCTGCATGTTATCACTCCTTTGTAAGTTTTAGCATCTCAGTCATAAAAACGACACCTCAAATACGGCAGTTAAAGTCTTTACAAGATGTCGAGTACATCATTGACTTGCATTATATGCATGCATGGCACTTAAAATATTATGTCCTACCAAATATTGCATCTAAGCAGTTCTTGGGGATTGCTGTGTGTCACGCATCAATATTTCAGTGATACGTTTCACAGCTTGAACAGGAGTGTATTGCACACAGCAGTGCTCTTTTAACACAAAACCTTGATTAAATTTATATTTCTACAAACCCAAATCGTTGATTTTATTTGCAGCCAGTGCGTGAAAAGAACTCTGAAAACCTAACGATCATCGCTTTGATTATCTGTTAAACAACCAGAACGCTATAGTTTGCTTTTTTACCCGGTCCTCCCCACCCCCTCATTAAATTGTCACTTACTGCACAAAGGAAGCAGTCATATAAAAGCACTTCAGTTTCCCTGCCAGTCAGCAGCTGCTGGATGGTCAAAGAAAGTCCACAGTGTGGTCACTCTGATTGGACAGTCGGTCTGGGTTTAAACCTCAGTGGGGTTTGAATGTTCACCACACGCCGTCACGCTGAATGAAGCACCGCAGACCGACCAGCAGCAGCTCTGCTGTTGCAAGACTTCAAGACTTGTACCTCAAAACACTTAAAATATTCACCAATAATGTATTCTTTCTTCAGATTATAATGCATTCACAATGTGCCACAAAGTAGTTTGTTTATTCTAGTGTATAAATTCATGTAATGTAACATGGCACTGTTTCCATTACTGTTCCACCTATAAAAATGATTGTAGCAAAACAAATGTCCTAAAATGAAAGTTGCACAAATGCATAAGCTGATCATAAAGAGTTTGTGATTACAGTGTGATTAGCTGGGCGCTGTAAAGCTCCTGCACTCGCTAGCGACCATCTGGATGCTGCCGTGCCGAAAATATGGGACGAGGCAGGGTTTGCCTCATACGATGCAGTGTTAATTGCCGACATCCGACATGACTGCGAGACGCATGGTGTACGAAAACATCCTCACTGACATCTGTTTTTTTTTTTTTTTATGTGTGTGACATAAGAGCTGCAGTGAGTGGGGAAAATGGAGCCGAAGGTACTGGATGTGGCTCCAGTGGAAAATGGGTTCTGAACATATGCCTTTAATATCTCCACTGACATACAGTAGCATACTGTATGAGGGGGAACATCTGGTCCTGTCCAAGTTTGCATCGACAAACTCTTGAGTTTTATCACAAATCTGGGCCAGAAATGGATCTAAATCTGTGTTTGTTTAGTTTGGATGGTTAGTTTAGTTTGGGTATTGCAGAGATTGTCCACGTATACTGATCACCAACTGACATGTTTCTACTTTGAGTTGATGATTTTTGTTTTCCTGAACTTTGTGATTAAGGAATTTAACAAATTGTTCACACGACTGAAATAAAAATAAACGTGTTAAACTTACTGCAGAAAACGGGAGAGAGGAACATTAATCCTGCAGGCAGCAGTGAAACAATTATATCATGCATCCATCCCTGTTCAGTTCAGTCCTCATGCTGCTTCTGAGGTTTGCAGCCCTTTTAATGTTTTCAGTTGAGTTGATAAAACCTTTTTTTTTTTCGTTCTCTTCTCTCACATATGTCGGACCACACCGAGAGCGGTGCACACGGTCTTCCAGTGCAACATCTCCGCTACACAAACTGCTTTAATTTTACATGTTTTTTTTTCTCTCTCTGTTTCCAACAATCTCCCCTGCTGATTCTGTTCTTTTGAAAGTTGGAACTGTAATCTGGAGCATTTGCAGAAATGTCTCCATGCTGTGTGGTGAATCCCGTTTCCCTGGTGGTTCTCTATGGCAGAGATTCAGTAGTGCTGTCTCTAACAGTAGTTGATCGTTTGATTCTTTGGCTCTTAGACCTTTTGTTGAAAAATTATTGGCAAGCTGTTGTGTCTCAACAGATGCAGCATGAGAGAAATAAAAACTTTAAAAGTGGGACATCGCAGAGCTCAGCATCAGCTCAGAAACTAAAGATTTGAACTGGGGTTTCACCGATATGGAAATACAGGCTGATAAAATATTAAAATTCCAGTTGTGGCCAATATTTATCTTTTTTGTTATTTTCCTTACCCTTTCAACATCAAGAAAACAACCACACCACTGACATCGGCTAAAAAAAAACAACCACAGCATCGTTGTCGCATAACCAACCTCCTTCCCGTCCAGAAACGTAAACCGCAATAACACTTCCTCAATTTTACACACACGACTAATACAGATTTGTTAAAATCGGCTGATACGATATTAATACCAATATATTAAGCCAATAAATGCTCCTCGAGTTGATGTTAAATTGATGTCTTGCCCACAGTGATCCGCTTCTCTACAAAGCTCAGACCGCTGTGTAGCTGGAAAAACATGAGACACCTTGATGTAGAACCCAGCAATCAATCTGAGTTGGCTAGATTACTGCAAAAATGATCAGAATAAGTAAAAAATAACCTCATGGGGTTTTTTTTTTTCCTTCAAGGAGTATTACGATGAATTTATGAAAACGCTAACTTTTTCTTTTTCAATACTCTGAGTGATTTTTAAACTATCCAGCAACGATATCTGAATTTAAAAATCGTGTTTGCACAATCTATACTTTTTAACAGAAATAGCCAGATGGTGACGCCGACTGGAGTGGAGTCACATCAGCTCTGAAGACGTTCTGACAGAAGAAGCGTCCTTAAAATGTTTGACTTGCTGGAAAAATGTCAGAATCACTACACACACCACATTAGCCGTGATAAACATCCAACAGTTTTGCTGTTTAATGTCTACTTTCTCTTCAGTGTTTCAGTGGCATAATTAATGCTGCCTCTTCGTAAACCGATCGAGCCTTAAAACATGAAAGAAGTTGCGACTATCTGAGATGTACTAGGAGCAAACAGCATGACATTTTCACGGTGCATAAGGGCTTGGAGTTTGCATAAACAAACATCAGGTAAGAGAGGCTCGGAAAAATGGCTCAAGGAGTCTGCAGTGTGTCTCTAGCTGCTTGCTCCTTGCTTTTACATTCGTTATGTCTTGCAAATGCGACTGCGGCTTCACTTCGCAGCACACATTTGCATGTGTGGCTGTTGGGGGGGTGGGCGGGAGGCGGCAAAATAAGACTCGGAAAAATTACACTTTCAAATTTTCGGTCCTACTTAATGAACCCCAACTTAAAACCCAACAAGGCAGAACAGAAAAAGAACACCTTTCCTCTCACCTGCATACATACATTATCGAGGGGGGAAGGAATTCCAAGCAGCTTTCCTAATCAGAGCCGGTGTTGACTGAGGGCTGAATTGGAGAAGGAAAAGCATGCAGGTTTTAGACGGGCGGGTGAGAGGGCGACCATGGAGAACAATCGACATCTGAGATTGGATTTTTGCTAAAAGTACGGATGCTTTCTAGGAATTCTGTGCTCAATCAACGTTCTGGAACTCTACTATGTTTTTCTTTTGTTTTCTTTTTTTTGTCTTGTGAGTCTATAATTGGTCTTTCTCCATTGTTGTGCAGGTATGACTACAGAGAGATGCTGTACAACTCCACCTTCTGTCTGGTTCCTCGGGGTCGAAGGCTGGGCTCCTTTCGTTTCTTAGAGGCTCTGCAGGTGAGTGATACTCGAACACATCTTCCAATGTGAGCATCTCGGTCATATTTTCACTTTTTACTTGCTTCTAAAATTGCCACCATTTCAATATAATGGCTTAGCAGTTTTTGCACGTTTTCTAAAATAAAAAATCAACTGAATAGTAACGGCTTGTCCCAATAAGCATTTCACAAATTAATCGGAAGATGAATTAAAATGAACTCGGATCATTTCCATTCTGATGATTAATATTTTTTGTTTAGAGACCTCAAACTTCATTTTACTTATGGTCTCTGTTTTGCGTAATTTTTAGTTCTGTTTTTTATTGTTTTTGGTTGTTATGTTTTAGTTGGGATATTTAGAATATGTTCCAGTGTTAAGGGTTATTCACAAAATTAAAGTTTACTGATCTTTTAGAGGTTTAACTTCCATTATTATACCATTAGCTGTCTTGAATATAGTCAAAACAACAATGTTATTCTTTATCGCAATAATTACAGGAGCAATTTATCGGCCAGCAAAATTTGCTATTGTCAGGCCTATTCCCAGTTAAACAGTTGAAACAGTTAGAATGCATATCAAATAAATATTTGCTCTGCATAGTGGTAGGAATTTTAAGTCAGTTTGCTCTTTTACTCAACGCTAATACAAAATGCAAATATGAGTTGTGTAATTAGTCCGTCAGCAGCAGAGATTTGAGCTCCGTTGTTTCGGAAAGATGGATGTCTGGCACTGGAATCACTGCTTAACAGCTGAATTTGTGTATGTTTAATTACCTCCCAAGACGCACCAAAGACAAACACTCATAGATGTTCCAGGTTTTCCTGAATGATCATTTTTCTTTCTTTTTTTTGTTTTGGTGTGTTTTAAAAAACAAAATGTCATTGTGACATGTCTGCGTTCAGAGACAAAGCCAAAAACCAGTGTAGCTTAAGCTGAATAGAAAAGCAGCGAGTCGGCCCCACAGGTCTTCTCCCACACTGTCAGGTTTTTTTTTTTTTTTTTTGTCTTTTTCTTTAGCTGCCTCTGACTGCATGTCCTCGCCCTGTGTCATTATGTCTCTCATGTCGGAGTCTTCTTTTCACTTCTGGCTCTTCACCCACCTACTCTTTCTCTGACTCTTTATTAATAAGTTTCTTCAACTTGTGGAAAACAAAATATTCTCCAGAGTAATACAACAATAAAAATGTAAGATGAGACAAGAAACTCTGCTGATTTTAGTTTTTTCTTTTATGAGGGAGCGTTCCCAGACCATCAATATCACGTCGCTCTACACTGCAGCTGTGTGTTTGCATTCTTCCAAATATTAAAGCATCCCTGTCACCCTCAAAAGTATTGAAGGATATTACACCAGCTTCTCTAACCCCCCCCCCCAAAGACTTCTTTTCACCTGCAGCCGTATGCTCATACAGCTGCCCTTAGTAGAGCTAATGTCACATCGTGAGAAAAATGGTATCTCTGATGCAAAACTTCCACTCCCCAAATATTCGTCTTAAATTGTATTCTCACAATATAACTAATAGGGTTCAGATGATCAGAAAATGTGTTTTATAGGGCATTATGATGTTTAATGTATGTCGTACTGAGGCTGATGTCAACGTAACAAAGACCGTCTTGGTGTGTAAAATGAACATTTTAACCTTTCAGAATTAAAGCCTCTCAATTACTTTCACTTATGTAATTATTTAGGATGGGAGAAAAAAAATGTTTTATACTGGCAGCTTTTTCATTGTGGTTCCAAAATCAAATCGGTGTGAGTCATATCGTTCCTAGAGATTCTTGATTTTACACCACGAGCACAGTACAAGCTAATGTGGAAATCCACTTAATAGGCAGTTTCACTTCAGTGAGTTTAATCTTATTTCCCATTCTCGGCATTTTCACTGTGGGAGAAGAACAGGGGTTCTTCTGTTATCAAGTAGAAACAGAAAGCAAGCTGCTAAAGTTCTCTTCAAAGAGTATTTCTCTGCAAACGTAGCTTCATTAGGCTTTTTAATTCCTCTAAAACCCTATTCACAGACTGTAGGGATAATCCATATTTCTGTTAAAAGAAAAAAAAATTAAACTATCATCACTGTTTGAAAGAAAACTACAGGTGTTTCCATTATCAAAACTACTGATTTTATTTTTTTATTTTTTATTTTTTTGCGTAGGGCAGAAAAGCCTCTTAATGGTAAAGGAATAAATTATGTCAAGCTTATTTCTATACCGCCTATTCATAACAAACATCTGTCAAGGCCCTTTACAAGGTAAATGAATTCAAATCAGGTAAATTTATTCCAGTACAATCCAACACAACCATACAGTCCACATCAACTAACTTGTACCACAGCAAATCAAAATTCATTTGATGATTTAATAATAACCGATTAAACATTACAGTACTGATAAAAAAAGTATTTACTCCCTTAGATGTTTTACCCTTAATAAAAACTAAAAGGTTAAAATGTTCATCTTACACACCAAGAAGGTCTTTAAGTTGACATCAGCCTCAGACAGAAAGATTTCCTTTTAATTCATCCCCTAAATATTATTTTATGAAAAAATTGAAAACATACTTGCATACATAATGTCAAAGAGGAAGGTGATTTCTGCAAAAATAATAACTTATATATATATATCGTGTTTCCCCGATAGTAAGACACCCCCGATTG